TCGAATTTTGTTGGTTTGTGACTTCTTTTACCCGCTTCGTGCCATGCATTCGGCTTTTCATGATAAATTATGTCAACACAAGTCAACATAAAAAACACGATTCTCTACAAGTGGGAGTTTAATTGGTAAACAAAGTTTACCTTTTAATTTACTAACCCTTTTTTTTTTTTTGATATTTTGTGGAAGATAATTAGATAATTTCTGGTAAATTATCTACTTTATTGTAAATAGTTTGTTTCTAAGTAATTTGAAGATGAATTAGTTTTTAATGTGTGTGCAAATTAACCTAGTACACAAGTAAGGTTATGGTCATACATATGGTTACACAAACTTTTAAATGTTGTATTTTAAAAAATTATTATTATTTTATTTAATTGTTAAAAATAATTAATAACTATAATTATTAATTGATAAATAATAAAATAATTAATATTTATTATTTAATATTAAAATAATATATATACTAATATTTTTAAATATTATAGCTAAGTATTTTAAAAAAATTAAAATTTATATCACCTTAACAATATATTATGTTTTGCACTTTGGATTTTACAAGATTGGACTCTTAACAAAAAATACATATATATATATATGTTTTTTTTTTCTCCCATTTTGATTTACTGACAATCAAATTTGTCCACCTTCCCTTAGCTGACCGAACGGAAATCCATGGAGATTCAGATCTTCATGTTTCTTGTCCAATCCCATGTAATGTGATCCAATAAGGCAATAACGCCTCAAGTGTGTGTGTGTGTTTTTTTTTTTAATGGGGTACCTCAAGTAGAGTGTTTTTTTTTTTTTTTTTGGATTTTTCCGTTATTTAATGGAACAAGAATTCGGTACGGTTTTCTAGCTACGCTTATTGTATGACAACATTTTTTTTATACCTTATGGTTGAGGAGCACATAACTCAATCATGAGGCGTCTCTGTCCATTGGATTTCATTTTTCACCCCCTTTTACTTGTACCATTAAAACTGTTGAATCTTGTCCTGTAATTCCTTACACAAGACTCCTGTTGTGTTGTATAAACAACACATTATTTGGCATACATATAACAAAAATAACGCACTTCCACGAGAAGAGTCTGCTGTTTTGGATGAGAGGCTAGTCCTCAAATAGTAGAGAATCTGTCATTCATTTAAAGATTTTTGTTATATAATTAGGTGTAATTTAAATTATACAACAACTTTTTTGATAGCACAATATTTTGTATTTCTTTTCATTTATAGTCAAGAAAAATATGAATCTTTAATTTTTTTTTGGGAGTAATAAATCTCTTTATATTTAGATTTCAAAAGTTATATTAAATTTTGATTAATTTAAAGTTAAACCACATTGAATTCCATAAAGAAAAAAGTTCTTCTAGTGCCAACTTCTACATTGATAAAATTCAAATCTGAAAACTTATTTAAGGGAAATTAAGTTTTTTCAATTTGGACCAATAAATCATTGATAATATGGATCTTTATATTAGACCTAATTTCAATGTAATTTAATAAAAATGACTAACATTAGAGAAATATACGATCTAGGTGGAGTCAAAGGAGTGTTAGACTAGTCCAAGCAAATGTGTTCATACTTAATGTTATGAAAATAGTATTAACATGAGCTTGTGCTTTCATGTTAGTTTGCTTAGGCCTTGATACAATGTCTAATACCTGGTTAACAGACAAAACCAAGGGAAGAAAAAAAAATTAAAAAAGAATCATAAGGTTGGTCCATGGCACTTGGGAAGGGACCATCATAAATGTACTCCTAATTATATGCTAATGATTACTTGTTTAATTGAATTAACAACTCAGCCATTACTTACAGGATGCTAATAAGACAACTCTCAAACAAAACCAGCTGGCACTGGCACCCCTTGTGCCTCCTTCTTGGGCATTTTTGAGCTTACAAGCCTTATTGGTCCTCCTGGGTCTACTTCTTCACTCCAGTCTTCTTGGGCCATATTCTTGATCATAGAATTCGTTTGTTGGGTTGGAGTATTTATTAAACATAGTTTGTTGTGGCCCAAGTTCATCAAGTTTTCGCTTGGGTACAGAAATTACAAGCCCAAATTAAGCACCACGTGTGCAGATTACTCCTTAACAGCAATGTTTCATGTCGAAAAGAAAGTACAAACGAAACATTTACTAATTTCCTATTTGCGGGTGTAGAAGCAAATGGGATAATTATTTTTAGTTTTTGAACTCAAAGAAGGGTTTAAAATCCGATGCATTAACCATTAGATGATGAGGGATGAGGGGCCCTGATGATGGGGTGTGAACCCCTTTATTTGGTACTTGATGTTTTATAATTTAAATAGTAAAAAATTAGATTCTTTTTAAATATCATATCTCCACTTCTTCTTCATGTCCACTTCATGCCTGATTATTCCGAGGCAGAGGTAATTAGGCGCTTCTTGGGTGAACCTTCTTCTAATCCTTCCAACAACGATTCTTGGATGGCTTGTCATATCTTCCGTAGATGGCGAATAGAATTAGTTGTGCTGTTCTGAGTTAAAATCCAGTCCCATTTGTTACCTGTCTACATACCACAACGATGGATATATATCTCACACATACACGTGTGTGTATGTATATATATATATATATATATATAGGGATAATAATTTATTTACATATAAATCTTATACATCAAATTTATATAAAATTTTGATAATTTATTTTTTTTATTTTCAATGATTGAGATTTGTTCATATTTTTTAAAAATAGTTATTTTTTTATTTAAAAAGTCATGAAAATTTTTAATTATTGAAAGTATAAAAATGAATAGTTAAAATTTTATATAAGTATAATATATAAGAATTTAGTGTAAGTAGATCCATATTATATAAATATATGTGTATACGTATATAAGTAAGTAAAATTTTAATTTCATCATTAATCATATTTTTGAGAAGTTTATGAATCCACTTAATATATTAGTAATTCTTTTTCTTGTATCTATTCATAGAAATTGCTTTTGCCATTACCTATACTTTAACCTCAAACTAAATTACTTTATTAATTTTTTTATGGAAACTAAAATATTTCATTAATTTTGCATAAATATCATTACAATTTATATAGAAATTCATTAATTACATTAGAATTTTACAATGTAATGATCATATTTTGGTTCAATCCTTAATTTACAATATAATGTTATAAAACTAGAATGTTTATTTATTTATTTTTTGAAATAAGTTTAATTATATTTTGATTTTTATCAAAGATTATAATATTTAACGGGCATACAAGTACATATGTTTTCATAAGAAAGCAATATGTAGCCTCTAGTAGCAAAGAAGCAGTAAAAAACAAAACAAACATGTCCACCAAAGAAAACAATGGGAGGGACCATAAAGTCCACACTTGGAAGTAGTAAGTGTCGTTGGAAATCTCTCTTTCTCATTTTGAGTAAAGTGAGTGACACGATTTCATAGTCTTATTTGTTATGCAGTTGAAAAGAGAGATTTTAAAAACAACAATACCTATAAGGTTAAAACCCCAATTTGATCCCTGACTATTGTACGGATCCCTGATTTGGTCCCTGAACTAAAAAAATCCCTGATGTAGTCCTTACTAGTTATCGTTTTAACCCCAATTTGGTCCTTCCGTTAAAATTGTCGTTAGGTGTCCTATTAATTTATTGTTACATGATGAAATGTCAATTTTTAAAACACGTGGAAATACAACATGATAACAAAATAATGACGTGGAAAAAAAATAATTTGATAAAAAAATAAAAATTCTTATATTTTTTTTTTCTTCTCTTTCATTTTCTCTCTGCCCTTGGAACCGATCAATTGAACCCACGCTTGGATTCTTTGGAATCCAGGCACTGGGTTCCTTCGAACCCAGGCGTTGGATTCATTGGAACCCAGGCAAGGGTTTTTTCAAACCCAGCACTTGAGTTCGATGGAACCCACGCACTGGGTTCCTTCGAACCCAACGACTAGGTTCCATCGAACCATTGGCAAAAAATTAGAAAAATTTTCTTTTTTTTTTTTCGTTTGTGGGTTTTGTTTGATGATGGTGAAGAAACTAGCAAGGTAAGAAATTGGTTGAGATGACTGATCCCTGGCTTTCTTCGAACCCAGGCGTGGGTTCTTTCTAACCCAATGGCAAAAAATTAGAAAATTTTTCTTTTTTTTGTTTGTGGGTTTTGTTTGATGATGATGAAGAAACTAGCCAGGTAAGAGATTGGTTGAGATGACTTATCAAAAACAAAAAAAAAAGAGAGAGATTAGTTGAGATGAATAGATCGAACCTAACACCTAGGTACCCAGTTGAGGGTTAGAAAGAATCCACGTGTAGGGTTCAAAAAAATTAGAAAAATTTTCTTTTTTGTGTTTGTGGATTTTGTTGTTTGATAATGATGAAGAAATTAGAAAGGTAAGAGATTGGTTAAGGAGAATAGATTGGTTGAGAAGTCAGGATTTGCAAAAGTTGAAGAAAAGGAAAAGGAAAGAGGAAAGGGAGAAACGAAAAAAGAAAAAGGGATTTTTGTTTTTTGGGTGGGATGAGTTGGAATGCCATGTCATTTACTTTTGCCAATCTATCATTTACTTTTGCCAATCTGTCATTTACTTTTGCCAACCTATCAAATTTTATGTTTTTTCTGTCAATTAACCTGAAAATATTAACGGAAGGACCAAATTGGAGTTAAAATGGTAAACAGTAGGGACTAAATCGGGAATTTTTTTAGTTCAGGGACTAAATCGAGAGTCCGTATAATAGTTTAAGGACCAAAAATGAGATTTTAACCTACCTATAAATATACATGTACCCAATAAATTAGGAAATAGATAAAAAATTTTAATACCTAAATAAATATTAAATATCAAAATCTTATACATATCATTATTCAAATCAAATACAAGTACGAACAAATACCTTGTCCATACTTGTACTTACTCACCCCATTCGCATGGATATACTATCACAAACCCACTCATGCTAATTAGCAATTACTGTATAGCAGCAATGTATCAAGCCGAAATGAAAGAATAAAATAAACATACAATTTCTCTTTGGGGGTGTAGAAACAATTTAGGTAATCTATTTTTGATATATTTGAAATACTCTTCTTCTTCATGCCTAATTATTCCGAGGATGATGAGGCAATTAAGCATTCCTTGGGCGAAGCTTCCTCCAAATCTTCCGACGAACGATTCCTTGATGGCTTGTCATATCTTCTGTAGATAGCGTAGAGAATTAGCTGTGCCGTTCCAAGTAAAAATCCAGTCCCATTTGGTACCTATACATATACCATTAGAACATTAATAATACATTAATACGTCACTGTCTTTTTTTTCTTTTTAGTAAATATAATAACAAATTATATAACAAGAGATAACATTTACTTTTCTTTAACTCCTCTTTATTTATTTCAAAATTTGAATTCAAGATCTTTAAATTAAAATTTCAAATTTTTAACTACTTTAAACACAACGACACCTCATCATCTTTATAGAATCTGTTAACTATAGTTGGCATGAACTATGAAATTTTCCTGATTATATCAACTAGCATTCCTTAAAGTTTAATGAAAAGAGAAGTAGGTATTGTAATTGATTTTCATTTTTTTTAGTGAGATGTGTGATTCGGTATTGCTTGTTAATACTATATGACTATCATAAAGTTTTACATTAGGGTAAGAAAACATTACGTGTTAATTCATATCCAATTACAAAACTGTCAACTTCAGATGTGTCCTTATAACGGGCCCTGTTCCCATTCGGATCAGAGCAACCATTAAACTATATGGACCCTAAAATAATGGGGAAAAAAAAAAAGCGACAGATTAACAACTACAGTTGTTTGGCCCATAAAAATTCGACAAGGACATTGATATGGTTACAACTCTGCTCCAGACATTGAGAGCCAGCTGGTTCTCCTCATCTGTTTCTTGTTTATTTCATTTTATTTATACAAAACCTAATATTTTCATGTTCTGTTTTAATTATTAGAGGTTTTTTTTTTTTTGGGAAAAAAAAGGCAAGTTTTCCGTTGAATTATAAAGCATTTGTACATTATATTTCCAGACATATATGCCCAAGGAAATATCAATGCATTATTAGAGTTTTGGTTTTAAAACTTTTAAGATTATGATAGTTTTTAGTTTCAAAATTTTAAAATACTTATGAATAAATCTATAAACAAAGTATTTTTGACAATATATTTTTGAAAAGAAATTCTCTTAGTTTTGCTGACCAAACTGCATTAGATGGGGGACTGCCTTCACATGCATTCAAGGTGCTTAACCCCATGTAATGGTTTAAAATGTTTGGGACTAAACTGTCAAACACTTAAAATATTAGGACTAAACTATCAACAAATAAAAAATGAGTATAAAAACTGACAGGCTGTTTGGTGTTGTAAACAAATGGTCATTTCCAAATTAACAAGTACGTACACTCGTTCATATGAGACTTGATTTGTTTAATTTGAGGGAAACAGAAGAAGGTAAGAGAGGGAAAATAAATTCATCTAATTAAATTAAATGTTGGGTTAATATTTTAATTTTATTGGATGAAATAATCTCCCCTTTTCTCTCCTCAAACCAAACAAGTCCTTAATATGGTGCAATGGTGAATGATCCCAAAGTAGACGACTTGGGAAGAGAATATATAAAAGGAGAAGAAAAAGGAAAATGGAAAGAAAGCTTGCCAAGAGGAAGTAATCCATCACAAGCAAGCATAAAAAGTCCATATTCCCCGCTCACAAGGAAAGCATAGACAAAGTAGTGCTTTGGTTTGACAACATATTTTTGAAAAGAAATTTTTTGGGCTTTGGTTAAGCTCCCTAAATTATCAAAATTTTATCTTAATTTAACTATTAAAAACAGTTGATAACTAATAAAATAGTTAATATTTATTATTGAATGAATTAAAATTAATTTATAAATAGATATTTCAAATACTAAAAGCAATTGTTTAAGGAAAAAAACTATAAACAAATAAAAAAAAAAAGCTTTTATGGGTGGCTTCAACAAAATGAAGGGTGACAATGGGGAATTTCCCTCACTTTCGTGGGGCCTATCCCCATGAATTGGTTTAAAATGTTTGAGTCTAAATTGTCAAACACATAAAATTTTAGGACTAAACTACCAAAAAAATAAAAAATGAACATAAAACAGGCTGACTGTTTGGTGTTGCAACTAATCGTTTCCAAACTAACAAATACACATGCATACACTGTTTATATGAGAAGGTAGGATGGGGATAATATATTCTTTTAATTAAATTAAAACATTATCAGACAAAATGACCTCTCCCTTCTAACCAAACAAGTCCCTAATTTGGTGCAATGGTAAAATGATCCTAGAGAAGATAAATTGGAGGGAAAGCTGTAAAAGGAGAAGAAAAAGGAAAATGGAAGGAAAACTTACCAAGAGGAAGAAATCCATCACAAGCAAGGAATAAAAAGTCCATACTCCACCGTTCACGAAAAGGGAAAATGAGAGGAGGAATGGCATGAATTCAACACTCTTTGTAGTTATCACTGTTTTCTGGGGAAAAAAAAAATTGAAATTCCAGTTTTATAATCACACATAATTAAGAATTTGAGATCTCTTTCACACTGTCAAAATAATGCCTAATCTTGCTTCTTTTTTGAAAAAAGAAAAAAAAATGAAGGTTTGACAAACATATATTCCTTACCATGGCCGCGAGAGGGGAGCCATACATGATGATGTTCAGGCCGGCACACATGAACCCTACTGCATCAACACGAGCATCTCCTGTCAATCCCAACTGCGTCCCAACAACCGCGGCTGCAAAGAGCCCCACATTCAAAATTGCAACCAAAATCGCAGTCCTTGTCTGAAAGTTGCAAAATAGATCTGACATAAATAATTAGGGATAAGACCAAATCTTGATTTTTCTTCTTCTTTTTTTTTCAAAAAAAAAAGGAAGAAAAAAGAAAAAATAATTAAGACCAAATTAATATCTCTCATTGATCATGATCAGAAAAATGAAAAAGATTACCCTCATCTTAGGGGGTGCATATATGAGGAACAAAACAAGATAGATAATTTCAACAACATCTCCGAAAGCATTGACAGTCGCCACCAGGTATTCTCCAGACTTAATGATCCCATAGTAAGTCCACAAGGATGCATTTAGCAGCATACAAACGTAAGGTAGGCTCTCGAATTCCTCGGTTGATCTACGCTTTACTATCCGAACAAATGTTTTCCTGATACAAACATTCTTTGCAATAGCTAAGCATAGTTACTTTTACATAATCTCGCTATACAGATCGAGTGAGAGAAAGAGAAAACACTTACACTGGAGAAAGGAATACAAAAACTGAGATGATATTGCCTGCAACATTAACATAAAGCTTGGGAAAGTGAGATATTATTAAGCTGAAACGGAAAATGTATTAGGGAGTAATAATCTTACCTAGAACACCAATGTAGAAACTCAACCCTACCATTTTTGTGGAAAAGGGAGCCCTAGAGTTACGGAAGGAAATTAGAGAAGCTTGGGATTTGAGAAAAGGTTGAGAAATGAGGGGAGAGAGAAATGGGAGGACTGCTTCCTTTTTACAGTGTTTTCTTTGCGGTATTATACCCTACAAGGCTACAGCAATTATTATAAGTTATATCATGTCATATAAAATTATTGGGGGATTTTTTTTTTTTTGTAAATAAATTATCGGGGGATTTGGTTCTTTCCTTTTTTGTGATATTTTGTTATTTCAGTTAAAAAGTAGCCATCGGTATAATGTACATCAATAAACAAAAGGACCACGATAGGAGACCCATCAATTTAACACTCAACGGGTTACATCTTATATAATATATTTAATTTATTGATTCAATTTTTCCGTTTGAAATAAGATCTAAATACCCCATTGCAATATTTTTAAAGTCAAATTAGATTGATCGATTAAATCGGTTGTATCGATATCTAATGATTTAAATAAGTTGGGTGAATACTTGTAACCAATAAGAAAATTGACCGACGCATACTGTTAAACCATTAAACCATTCAAGTGGACAATTTAAAGCTAAGATTCCCTCATATTTGCCTTCTTCAGGTTTTGAACGTAGGACTTCAAGAAGAATTTTAATTATTTTTACCACTAGGAGGTCATCTGCGGTTTCATATAATTCGCGTTAAATTTTTATTTATTTTAATTTTAGGAAGAAAGAATAATATTCCCTACCAGCCAAGTCAACTTTCCTCGATTAGTATAGAGAGAAATATTGTTGATTTTTATATTGAAATTAATATAAAATTTATTTAATTTATATTTTTAAAATATAAATTAAAATTATAATAAATATAATTTTTTATAAGTAATTTATATAAAAATTATAAAAATTGATATTTATTTTAATTCTATTAACATGTAAATGATTTTAATTGATTAATTAATTAATTTAAAATCAGTTTGTATAAATTTTTATATAAACTAATTAAAAATATATTTATTCTACTTTTCATATGTGAGGAAAACTCATTAATATATTATAAGTTAAAAATATAATAGTATAATTTTTTACATTTATTATAATTAATATATAAAAAAATTAATGTATATTAGTTTTGACTCTAAAAATAATTAAAATTCTAACTTATGTATGAAAATTGAAATTTTATTCTATTAAATATTGATATCTAAATTTAAAAATCTATTATATATTTTAATATATCAATATTTAATAAGATAAT